AAGACCGGTGTTCTCACCCAGAATGACATGGGATGGACAGGTAGTCACGCCGTAGTCATTGTCGGCTGGGGTACAGAAGGTGGTCACGACTACTGAATCATTAAAAACCATGAATTTAAAAAACACTTTTATTAGAATACTGAAAAATCTTTAATTTAGAAACTTATTTTATTACTTAATAAAATTATTCCGATAAAAATTCCGTAAATGTGCAAATAGTTAGACATTTGAAATGATTAAAATTGTCCTGATTCAATAAACAATAAAAATTAGTCTGTGCTAACATGTATCCAGACAATATTATTGAAAAACAAGTGTCAAGGTGAATGTCAAGCCGATTTAACTGAACTGTCAAAGAATGTTCCAGAACTTTTACATGTTTTCTTTTAAATGTCCCGGTATTGCCGGTTGTGAGTTAGTCAGTCTATTTGTGTCCCGATCAGTTAGGGAGTTTTAAATGTATTAACAAATGGGATCAGACAACACAGTATAAGCGCTAATGATTAATTCAAACATAACAATTAGTATGGTTGTTGAAACAAGTACATGATTATGCTGTCTTAAATAGAAGATGTATGTTACTATTACTTTGCTGTCATAGAATTTGTTATAATCAAAATACAAGGTGAGATTCCTTGGTGTATACATACATATACAGCATATACAGTATATACTGTACAAGATACAGTGTACAGTGTATATAATTTGCATATAATTCTAACTACCATTTACCATGTTATTAAATATAAAATAATATTAAATAGTAGTCATTATAAATGCCTTGTTGGCAGCGTTAGTGCTGTCACACACTTTAACATTTTAACATAATAAATTATTATTATTAATAATTATTGTAAAACATCATTTACAAACAACAATTGTAAATTTATTGCAATCAATTTATTTTTTATTATATAAAATATATATAAAACATCAAAGAATTAATAAATATAGTTATTTTTGTTATAAAATGTTAAATATTTAATGAAATATTTCAATAAATTTATATTTTTGCAATAAATATAATATTAAGTGGGTTAATTTTATTAATAATGACTTTTATAAATTTTCAAGCAAATGACTTTCGTGCAAATGTCATAGACCTCTATTAGCACATCGATGCATTGTATATTGTGACGAAAGTCGGGCTCGCGTTCGTCGGCGGTGTACCCTTGACGACCCGTCGGACGGTATTTGGTGACCAAAGTCTGGGAGACGACGAGGTCTACCGTCGGATTGTCGGATGCGTTGAGAGGTTGTGGTGAACGGATGAGAAGTCCTGATGGAAGGACCTCTGATGTGTGCACGTATGAGATGTAATGACTGAATGTATGGACACGTATGAGAAGTCAGAGTGAGAGATACTGATGGAGATGTACTGAAGAGGGAGAAGTCATTGAATGAATGAGAAGTTATGAATGAATGATTGGACAGCACTTCGTGTGTATGAATGATCTCTGGTTTCCCTCTTGATTTATTGGTATATTTATGAATGCTTTAAAAATGGTTTAGTGTATATGTTATGCTATGTAATGTTATGCGACTTCTGGTGATCGGAGGTTAGAAGTAATAGTATGTATGTAAAGGTCTGGTTTTACACAATGATATGAATAATGAGAATGTGTTACAATTAATGATGCTTACAATTAAATGTGGTTAAACATAGTTAAGAGTAATTGTGGTGAATGTGGTTAGAACTGGATATTGAGGGCATTGAGTGCAATGTTTGTTGAAAGGCTTATGTATGAGAAGGACTTATAATGAGGGCAAAGGTTTACAACGGATATTTGGTTTGAATGTCTATGAATATGAATAAATGTGAGTACTGTTCGGTGGATGTCTTGTTCGGGTGCTGTTCGGTGTTAGGGACTTGTCTTTCGTTACAATATAATAGCTTATGTTAAATGTGTTTGATATACATTACGGATTGGTATTCTCGGCCTTTTTAGATAATGTTAAAATCTCATTGAAGACAAAACCAGTCATTTACAAATTGACTTCACTATTTCCATGACAGTGTTTTAATTTTTATTGCATTACCATTGAGTTTATTACAAATAATTCAAACATAACAAATTAAACATTTTGATAATTATAAATTATTTATATCAATAGATATATAAATATAATATTTAATAAGGTCCACGAGTATCGTCTCCTTCGGGATAGTAACCGGGAATGGCTTCGGGATCGGGAATGGCTATGGGATCGGGAATGGCCTCGGGATCAGCAATGGCTTCGGCCTCAGGTTCCGGGTTTGGGTTCGCGTTAGCCTCCGGTTCAGCTGAAGTGTTGATAATAATAATAAATTATTAAATGAGTTCATATAAAGTAATGTATTAAACATAATACATACGAATTGGATCGGCCGACACCATATAAGTGCTGATTGTCAATAGAGCCACGATTACCAGGATTGTTGTTGTTGACCGCATTTTAATGATTGTTAACCTTATGCTTTACGGTTTATAACTGCAATGTTTTATTGTAGCGGTTTTTATAAAGCAAATTGTTTGCAACATAAAATCCAGATGGTTTAGGTTTGGACCAAACCATTTCGAATGTACATGTTAAAATTTAATTTAAATTGTAGATGATTGTGTAATTGTCTATACTCTACAGTAGATGAAGTTTACAGTATATGATAATATGACACCATTAGAGACGATATACCCCTGTTATGTGCGTTCGTGTGATTTTATAAGAGTTTAACTAATTATTACTAAATTATTGTACGTATGGTAATTATTATTTTTGTAATACATAAAGTTAATTAAAACAAAATTTTTAATTATTTATTTAATTAATTTACTTAAAACAACAGTTTTATTAATTAAAACAAAAGTTTTGAAACAAAAATAAAAGTTTGATCAATTCAAACTATATTGAGGGGTGATCTCAATGAGTGGTAAACGTTTAGTTGATTTAAAACGCTTCGTGGTGTCGGCGACGGCCGAAGTGGTTATACAAAAGTGGTTAAAATATGATAATTGGTGGCGGCGTTGGGCCGGCCGTAGGTCTTAACAAAGACTTGTAGTGAATGAGTGGTGTGTTTGAGTTGCGACTCAAACTGTGACTGAATGGTGACTGAAGTGTTGGGCGAAAAGGGAAAGAGAGAGACAGACAAAGACATGCATTTATACAGTAACAAGTGCTGCTCTCTCACAATATTTCATTCTTAAATTATTTATTTTTAATGTTCGTCATTTCCCATTTTTGAAAACTATTTTTCAGGAAATAGTTTTGCGCCGGAAAATTCTTTATATTCTTTAAAATTAGGAAAATAAGACAAAAATGTGGTCAAACAATGACCAATCGAGATATATAAATACTTTTATCGTATTTATTACATGTGCCTTAACATGCTTAATCATAATCATTTTTTATAAATATTTCTACCCTATTTTATCAATTTTCAATATACAATTTAGCCTCCACTATTTATTAGTATTTAAAATTTTCCTGCCTAATTATTATAGTCAGTAAAAAATGCGTTTTAATGCATTATTCACAGAAAAAAGTAATTTTTGTGTGAAATGAAAATAAATTGAATTATATTAAAGCATTGAATCATTCAATGAATCAAACATTACTTGTATCTAAAGTTATTTTTTGTGACTAATGCATTAAAACGCATTTTTTTACTGACTATACTAATTATTTAGGTGGGTAGGAGGTAGGGTTGGCAATATTACAAACCATGTATTTTACGTATGTAATTTACATAGTATTTTACATGTATTTTACATGCACAGATTTTTCATTTTGTAAAATACATCATTAAAAAAATTTATTGGTACAATNCATTTTGTAAAATACATCATTAAAAAAATTTATTGGTACAATTTTTTAAATATTTTTACAAAACTTGGGTAAAATGTTTGCATACTTGTTATTTGTTTATTATTGTAAAAATAATCATTGATTAAAATGAGTAACTAATAGCCACAATCAATTATTTGGAACTATTTTACAAAAACCGATGATAAAAATTGCTTGAATTTTGTCAAAAATCAATTAATGGATCAGATTCAATTGTCGAATGTGAAATAATTAGTGATTAAAATGTTATAAATGTCATAATTTCAATAAAAATGTTCAATTTTGAGGGAATATAATACGTTAATTTTTTCCCCATAGTAAGTAAAATGACATGTATATTACGTGCATTTTTGTATTTTACAATGTAAATTACATGGCCTCAAAAAAATCCTTGTAATTTACCAACCTTAGTAGGAGGTAAAAACAATCATTTTAAATTGCTTTATCTAACATAATTCTGCTTCAATCAATATTTTTAAGCCAGTATAATATGGCATAACTGTAAAGGTTTTTAAAAACAATATTTATAGTGCAAAAGTAAGATCTGATCGCAAAATCACATCATTTGCAAACACGTCAATAATTATGTGTCTTATGATCACAAATTGACGATAAAACACAATTCAAAACATAATACCATTGTATAATAATGCACCATAAGTGTCATGATAATAAATGGACTAGTGCCATTGTACCATTTGTTATTTTGTAAATTAATATTTATCTACCGTAATATTACGTGACAATAATTTTCTCCAATTGAGTTTTAAACTTATCATTTTTTATGTGCAATTTTTCTACAATGTAAATGTTTAAACTATATATTGCATTTCATTTAACCCGGATTACCTATTAAAATAGTCAACAAAATAGCATTTTAAAAATATATTTCATTTATATTTATTATCACATTTTATATTATTTAACTATCGACAGGAAAATTTATGTATTTCCCGATTATATATTGGCATAAAAATCAAAACTGATAAAATAATTATAATACTCTATAACTAAAATAAAGTTACATTGAAATAGTAAAGCCAATAATCATGATAAATTTACCCCAAACCTAGAATTATCATCATAATTGAAGTCCAAGAGTTAATTGGATTTCATAATAAAATAAATATAATATTAGTATATAAAGAACTGTCAAAACCAAAAACTAATAACAATAACCAGTGTTTACACACATTATTGTTAATTTAAAAAATTGTGTTAACCTTCCTCTCGAGCAAAGAAACCATGAAATTAGTGGTAATTTTCGCATTGATTTGCGTGTCATTTGCGACACAAACCAAGAGTGTATCGCAAAAGGCGGCAGATCTTGGTTTCAAAACATTTGACCACGACTTCAAGAGCTTTAAAGTTTGTACAGACAAATACCTACATTAAAAATCATATAAATTACATAAAGATTAAACATAATGAATATAAAAACCTCGTTATAATCAACAGATAACTCACAACAAGCAATACTCGACAGCCGAGGAGGAAGAGCAGCGAAAAGTCAATTTCTTGCACACATTGCAAGTCATCGCTCAACACAATGAGGGCTTTAAAAGGGGTATTGAAACCCATGAAATGGGTGTCAATCAGTTCGCAGATATGGTATGTATTTTGCATTTGAATCCCAAATTTAATCTAAAACATGTAATTTATAAAATTATTTTCCACTAATAGAGTGACGCTGAATACCAATCCATGTTTGTAATGCCCGACCCAACGGTGCAAAAGCCCGAACCGGCCGACGCCTACATCGCCGAACCCGAGGCCTTGTCATCGGTTCCCCAGAGTTTGGATTGGAGACAAAAAGGAAAAGTTACTCCCGTTAAGAACCAAGGTGGTTGCGGATCGTAAGTTTTACAATTCTTATTATCTATGTTTTTGTTTATAAAAGTTACTCTCTATCAAACAAATACAAATATTTAAGATAGATGTTTTGTTGTTTTATCGTTAATACAAGACTAATCATTCATATAGCCAAGCACCTAGTATTATTTAACCTTAGATAATCACAATTACTATTAATAAATAAAAAAATAATTAAATTTTAAACAATAGATGGCTATTATTACCTTGTTAGCTTATGATACCTTTTAAGATTTATAATTCTTAACCTAGAACAGTTCTTAAGACCAAACATGTCTAAATAACAAAATAAAATAATCTATACCATTAATACAACCATAAATTAATCAAAATCACTGCAACATTAACGACCAGGTGCTGGGCATTCAGTGTGATCGGTGGCATAGAGTCGGCCTACGCTGTGAAGCAAAACAAAAACAATCTGGATCTCTCGGAGGAGCAACTGGTGGACTGCATGAACAGCAAATGCGGCGGTCAATGGATTTACGACGGATACAAATACGTGATCGCACACGGAGTCGAGAACGAGGCCCAATACCCGTACAGCGCCGGCTCCGGACACTACAACCAGTGCCAGGAGAAGGCGTCCGCACCGCACACACACATCAAGGGCTACAAGAGTTTGGGCAAAGGCATCAGCGAGAGTCACCCGTTGGCCACCGATCAGGAGATAATGGCCGCCATTGAGGCCAACGGACCGATCTCTATGATGTTCAACGCAAACGGCGACGCTTTCCGTAACTACAAGACCGGTGTCATCACCCAGAATGACATGGGATGGACAGGTAGTCACGCCGTTGTCATTGTCGGTTGGGGTACCGAAGGTGGTCACGACTACTGGATCATTAAGAACAGTTGGGGCGCCACGTGGGGTGACCATGGTTATTTCAAAATGGTCAGGGGCCAGAATCTGAGACACGTCAATGAGTACCTGTACTTCCCGGACCTGTAAATACTTTTATATAGTTGTAATTTTATTGTGAATAAAATATTGTAATTAAAATGCATTAAACCAAAGATTAATTCTACAGTTTATAATATGTAGAAAGTTTAAATGAGTTTGACTTGGTAACTTGGCATTCTATGAACTAGGTTATTTACTATTTTATGTTCATAAAATACACCCCAATGTGTACATGTGTATCTCTCTTAACAACAACAAGGTGCTTTCGTGCACAATATGTGTTTTCGTTAATACAGTGCAACTTCTCTATAGTGAACGGCCAGTTGCACGACAAAAGTGTTTATTATAGGGAAGGTTCATCCAAGGGAGGTTCTGTTAAAGGTATAGAAAAGCCAAAATATATTTCAAAACCGTTCATTCAAAGGAGGTGTTCATCCAAGAGAAGTTCACCCAAGAGAAGTTGCACTGTATAATATAATTAGATTATGAACAAATTATAATTTTACCTTAAGTACATCACTTAAAAATTAAGCTCTTTTATTTATAAAAAATTCCTGTAATTTTTTTAAACTTTTAATATAATTATTGAAACTTTTAATTTTTATTATTATTGTAATTATAATATTCACAAAACCAAACGCTAGAGTGAACTACAGATTATTTTTGAAAAAGCAATTATCAAATCAATTCAAATGTAAGCACTTTATAAATCCGTTATATCACTGATAACTACCACAACTGATAAGATATTTAATTTCAATTGTTTTTTAAACATACGTTAAATTAACGTCAATACAGTTAAGCAAAAATATAATTTTCTTATGAAATAAATCTTTGGATTAGATATTCAACAAAAACTATAAATTAAAGGATTATTTTATACAAAAGTTTATTATAAATTATATTAAAAAATAGAGAATAAAACTTCTAAAAGCAAACCAAATAAATTTCTATGGTTTTAATCAAACAAATATTTGTTTAATAAAATGTTTGCACAATTAATACAAGAGTCACATGAAAGGCATATTTGTCTGTAAATCATATTTACTGTATATTACTATTGAAATACTATTTCAATTCATTAGTATTTTGTAATCTAACCGTAAATCTCAATTTTACACTAAATAACTTATTGTTAATACATAATACATGTATTGCTAATATATGCCTAACTTTATTAAAAGATTGACAAATACTTTAATTAGTTAAAGTTCATTACCACAAATTAAAATATTTATATAATACAAGTATTGATACTTGTTACTGGTAAACTAATAATTGAATAATAATTAAACTAGTAATTGACTAAATATTACAATGGTCAAATAATCATAAAAATAAATGATTATCAAAATAACAACCTATAAAACACTCAAATATTGATTATGAGTTGTTTTCGTCTATTTCCCTATTGTCTAACATTTATAATCCTCTTATAAATGCAACTCAAAGACAGTCACATACCTAACCATTGTTTACATTGTCAAAAAATACGCATGATGAAACAAAATTGCTATAAATATCTAGACAAATAGCCTGATGAAGAAAACAACAATAGTTTGTTTGTTAATATGACTAACTTGTATAAAAGATTGATCTAGAATGTTATTGTCATATAAAATGTAATTTATTAACCATCTTAAATTATTAGTTTTATTTGAACATTATTGGCATTTTTGTTTGAGCATGTTATTTAACTCTATAAAATAAACAAGGTTAACATTAGAATTTACTTTCTAATTGAAATCATAACAAAATCATAAATTTAAAAAAGCTCATAATATCTCACAAACAAAACCACAGAATTTCACTAAAATAAATAAAATTACATTTTGTTGACATTTATGTCAACGGATTCATCGGATTTCAAACATCTGTTTATTGATTTATCCCGACTATAATCAGACAACAACATTATAGTTACCCCATCCCTATCATAGCCTATTGCCGATGTATTAACCTGTTTTCACCCTGTTCATTGTTCAATGTTTTGTATACAATGTCATAGCATTGACACTGTTTGACAGGTCTACTAATCTATGTTATTTATTAGTAGAAATCGGATGTAAATATGATTTATCGCATATAATCAACTCAAATACATTATCCGACATACGTTGCGAACATTAATACCAAGTGCTATATTACACAATAATCATGTAAAGTCTAATACATCTCAAGAATTTTAACCGTTGCTGAGTTACCGGCTAATTGTCCACACTTTTTACATAATATTTATCTAGATACAAATTATTATTAGAATTAAATTCTATTTGACCTAGAAGTACACTTAAATTAAAGACAAAATACTTAATAAAATAAATATAAAGCCGAGTATATTATGGATAAAAGTCATTACATTTTTATTTAATCATTTCAATGGAAAAATAATAGACAATAAAAGTAAATAAA